CACACACACACACACACACACACACACACACACACACACACACACACACACAGGGTCTCTCTCCAACCTTTGATTCCTGCTCCACCCAAGTTTTTAAACCATCTGTCTGGAGGGGCAGGGGCATTTCTATTCTGGCAGTAATGAGAGAATCCATTGACTTTGTGGCTCATTAGCATCTTCCTAGTTCCTGCTAATCTCTCACTGCTCCATAGGTGTGAATGACCCTCTCACTTTTTCAGTGGTCTTGTTGTTCTACTATTCAAGCCATCCTTCCTTCTTCAATGCTGCTGTCTGTGAGCCATTCCTCTTAATGTCTCTCTCCTATTTCACAGCCCTGCAGACTGTTTATAGCTTTTGCCTAAAGTCTTATCTCAGGTGTGGTCATATGAACTTATGTGAATATTAACTCAGGTGTGGAGCTGACTGACAGTGAAGTGTTAGACGCAGTCAAGATACTCTGGCTAGTTTGTACTTTATACATCTGAACAAGGGATGCACAATTAACTATGTTGGCTACAGGATTAATGAAACAATTTCTTTTGATGATTTTTGGCTAGTTTGTTGTGTATTTTTAAACTTTATATAACATCTAACTAATTTGCACACATTCCTATAAAGCCCGACTTGTTTTTGCTTTGCTCTTAAGCTGAATATCATAGCGCTAGGTGCCTAGTATGTTAGTAAAGCTTCTAGTTTCCATTTAACAGTCAGCATGGATTCACCAAGGACAAGTCATACCTGACCCACCTGTTATGATGAGATGACTGGTTCTGTGGGTGTGGGGAGAACAGTGGATGTGATGTACCCTGACTTTTGATACGGTCTCCCACAACATTCTCACAAGCAAGCTAATGCAGTACAGGTTAGATGAATGGACTATGAAGTAGATAGCAAACTGGCTGGATCACCAGCCTCAGAAGGTAGTAATCAATGACTAGATGTCTAGTTGGCAGCCGATATCAAGTGGAGTGCCCCAGGGGTCAGTCCTGGGGCCAGTTTTGTTCAGTGTCTTTATCAGTGACCTGGAAGATGAGACAGAGTGCACCCTCAGCAAGTTTGCAGAGGACACCAGGCTGGGAGGAGTAGTAGATACATTGGAGGGTAGAGCTAGGATTCAGAGTAGCCTTGACAAATGAGAGGAAAAAAAAAATCTCATGAGGTTCAAAAAGAAGGGCAAAGTCCTGCACTTGGGATGGTACAATCCCATGCACCGGTACAGACTGAGGACTGACTAGCTGATTTGAGCATCCCATTTTTTAGCCACCAAGAAGAGGAGAGGGGAGGACTTAACATTTGCACAGGGAAAAGGAAAAGAGGAAGGGGTGCAGCGTCCAAATCGGGTTTTTCCCAAGGGAAAAAGCAGTTTGAAATGAACTTTTTTTTCCATTGGGGGAGCAGCAGGGAGGGGGCCTCGAAACTCAGTTGTCCAGGGAGTCTAAAGGGATCTGCTGGTTAAAAATTGAAGCTGACTCGCCTCTTCCTTCTCCTCGTCCATCAGAATGAGGGGGGCAGGGGGAGAGTGAAACTCCCTCAGTTCCCAGTTTAAAAAATGGGACTTTTAAGTCCTCCCTTCTGGTGGTGGACTGTGGAGAGAGGGGATCTCCAATCTACAGCAAGGCAGCCGAGTGGGAAATTCATCTCTTACTTGTTAATCCAATGACTTCTGCAGGTCTTTTTACCAGGTGTGGAGACTAAGACACGGTTGTCCTTAGGTATCCTCAGCAGTCACAGTTCTAATACCTTAGTTAGTCAAAAGCTGAACAGCATGCTCACCACACCGAGCTATAACAAACTCAACATCACTGGATGGCCGGTCTGTGAAGTCTTGTCCAGGGTTCCTGACTCCTTCATCTGAGTTCTGAGTCTTGGATTGGTGACTGGGTCCTTTAAGAGCAGGCTGCAAAGGGTACGCTCTCTCACAGCTCTTTATATACCAGATACCTTTGCATTTCTTAATTCCCTCGCTTTATGCAGTACATGTGTTCCTGGAAAACGAGGCATAACTCGAATTCACATAAAGGGAACCCATTTTACGATGTAACAAATAGGAATACTTCCAAGACCTCAACAGAACTGACCTCCAGGCCCATTTCTACCACTTTTACAAGACATTTTTGGGGCTCACCAGTAGCACACAGTACCCACAAGCATTGGGCACTATTGTAATGAGGATGAGAAACACATGTTGCAGACATTGAGTGAGGAGCACAGATCCACACAGGAGACGGTATTTTGGTGCGCATCGCACAAAGCAACTCCACCACACTAATCGCATAAGCGTGACTTTACCTTGCATATAACAATTTTTTGGTATAAAAAGGGTCATCGCATAAGAGCGAATTCGCACATACAGAACCCGCATAAAGCAAGGGGTGCCCGTACACAAAAAGAGCTTAAGTCTCCCTCCTAATGCATATTAATAATTTTGCTTCTGTTTGCCAAATATGGTTACCCTCAACTGAAATTTTCTATTCTGAAGTAATTTTTTCATTCCTAGGTAGGGGTAGGTTTTTTTGCTCTGACTGCTGCTCTTTTGCCCAGGCTACACTTGATCTGAGCTGACAAGAGGCCAAGAAGCAATTTATTCAATTTAGGTAGCCAGCTCCCCAATTTGTATAAAGTCAGGAACAGTATTTTCCATCTGATCCTTTCACCGGCTGCATGTCTTGACCACAATTCAAGCTAAGCACTCAGCTTATGCTAAGTACAAAGGTCAAAACCCAGGCCTGAAGGCCTCTGGGTCCCAGACCACCACTGGGATTGGGGACTGGGCGTCCTGAATGAGAGGGATTTGGGGACAGCAGAGGCCAAGGGGGCTAATGAGAAGCAGGGGTTGGAGTGTGCAGGGGACTTGAAACGATTTTTCTTTAAGCTGCAAGCGTGTGAGGGTAGGGGAGGGACCTTGTAACTAGCTTTATCAAGGCAGGGCTGTGAGGAGGTGAAATGGAGTTCTTTTAGCTCGTGGGTGTGTGTGTGTTTAGCTTGAGTGTGTGTGTGGGGGGGTCATTTTTAGCTGGGGGTGTGTGTGTTTAGCTTGCGGGGGTGTAAATATGTTTGTAGGAGCGGGTATATGTGCATGTGTATGTTCAGCTTCTAGGATCGGCGACGCATAGGGGGTGAGCCCCCTGAGATTGGCCGTGCACCCCCTGGAAGCACCAGCTGTGAAACCGGAAGGGCACTTCTGGCTTTGCCACTGGCTTAGTGATCGGCTGCTGGGGGACCACCCCCCCATTGGTGATCGGGCACTGGGGGGAGACCCCCCCACCCCGGTCAACAATCTGGTGCCCTCCCCCCCCATGGCTTGTGGGCCTGTGAGTGTTTAGCTTGTGGGGGACTTTTAGCTTCTGGGGGACGTTTAGCTGGTGGGGTGCATGCGTGTGTATGTGTATGCGTGGCCCTGTGTATGAACGTGTGCGTGTCTGCGTGCATGTTGTGCCTCTCTCACATTTCCCTTAGTGCCAAAGGAGAGGATTTGAAACTCATGTTATCCTAGTATGAGTCTGGAGGGGGGTTGCAAGTCACTTCCCCGCCCCCCATAGCACTGGGGATTTGAAGCACATGTTCCCCTTAGCACCAAAGTGGGGGGGATTTGAAACTTATTTTATCCTAGTAGGAGTCTTCTTTCCTCACTCCCCCTTCCCAGGAAAGGGGAGTTGACAGACACAGTTCCCTTGGTACCAAGGTGGGGTTTAAACCTCATTTTATCCTAGCATGAGTCTGGATGGAGGCAGGGTGGGGTGGGGGGGTTACAACTCACTTTTTTCCCCCTCTCAGCTGGACAAAGACGCGTGTATGAGGAGACTTAAAACTCACTTTTTACCCTAGCCCAGGAGAGGAAGACGGTGGATTTCTTGTGCCTGGCAGAGACTGGCAACCCCTTAATACTTCTCCACCCTGAGTGGGAGCAGGTGAGAAGGGACAGGCCTCTTCTTGCAGGTCTTGAGCTAGAAACAGGGAAGCGGGGAATTTTTCAGCTGTGATTTCTGAGGCAGCCCTCCCGCCCCCATCTCCCCCTTCTGCCTTCCTTTTCTCTGTGCCTGATGGCAGCCCAGCCAGGCACAATGAGGCTGAGAGGCCCCTCTTGGGAAAAACTCTGGCGAACAGCTGAGAAGAGGAGGAGGCGGCAAGGGGGAGGGAGGTCTGGGCTCTTTGCCTACACTTTGCCAGCGAATCCCAGCTCCCGGAGAAACAAGTTTATGCAAATCCTGGGGCTGGTGGAGGATGAGATCAGGGGGAAAAGCAGAAGCCTTCAGAACTGGACTCTTTTGCAGGGACACGCCAAAAAAAAAAAAAAAAAAAAGCTGCTGGTTTCTTTCTCTCTCTCTTTTATTGTGCAGAACTGCTTGGATTTGGAGGGCTGGGCTTTGTGGGTGCCAGTCCTCGAAGACTCGCTGCTGGGCAGACTGCACTCCCTGGCTCCGAAACTGGATTTACCAAGTGGCTTGAAAGCTGGGCTCCTGTCTCGGGGACTTTTCTCTTTCTCCCGTGGATTATATTTCCCCATAAGAAAAGCAAGGAAGGTCAGAGAAGGTAAGTCGCTTGGGATGCATTTTCCACGGGGTGGGAGAGGGGAAGGGGAGGCGATGGAGGGGAAGGAAAAGGGGATCTCCCATCTCTGATTTTCTCGTCTCTTAACTTGGTGGGCGTCAATGGCATGAGGCCCGTTCTCTCCGTGACCTTGGTAGAAATCCAGAGCGACCCCCAGGGCCACCAGGCGGGATCCTGAAGTCGTTGACCTCCGAGTAAACCCAGAGTGATCCCTGGGGTGCTCCTTGCTCTCAGCGAGGCCGGCGTAGGCCCGAGATCGGAATCCGATGGGGACTATTTCAGGTCTGGCTCCAGGCACCGAAGTTTGCAGCCGTCTCAGAAAGGTTCGGCAGGCGCCAGGTATAAGCTCTGACCTGAGCCATTTTTAACCCGCCCCGTTCAGGGGCTGTCTCCAAATGGTTTCCTCCTCGTCCTGCTTTCAAACCTTCACTGTCTCCGACCCCTCTCTCTCCCATGAGACCCTTCCCCTTCAGCCAGCTGCTCCACGAGTTTACACGGGTGAGACTCATCATCTATGCAGCCTGTGAACCATAATAACAGTGAATCGATCACTCCCGGCCATTGAAATCGCATTAGCAGGTAACGTGACTCGGCCTGGATGGACACGAAGAATTATAGTGGGTGATAATTAACCATGGGAAAGACCTCGTAATGCCAAGGCCCCATGGCCATTAGCAAAAGAGAGAAACTAATACCCAGCAATGGACAATTCGACATTTAAACAATGGAGAATGGCAAGATCTATCGCTGTTGCTGTGAGAGGTAAAAAAAAAAATTAAAAATAACAGCTAGTCACTAGAGGGAGTGAAGATAAGTAATTATATCTTCTCTGATGTTTGAGGTGATACATGTGGTCATAAATAGCAGAGGCAGAGCAATTATGCAAATCAGTGTTAGCACTGCTGCTTTTTTTATTGTGGATTACAGTAAAGCAGATAACACAAGAATACCACTAATTATGAAGGCAGTTTGGGAAAAGATTTTTGTATTACCCACACAGTCAAATAATAAATATAATGGAATATATGACAAGTAATGAATATGGTATGATATGATGCAATTTATAATGTAATATAGTGTAGTATAATAAAATGTTTCCATAATAGTATTAGCATTCTTAGAATATATTCTTAATACACACACACTGATGTGAGCATGTATTTAAGTTATATATTAATGATATGCACAAAGCTGTGATTAATTATATATTTTAGATATTCACAGTTTACTCAAAATAATAACTGCGATAGTAATTAGTAGGTAACTCAGGCCTTCTGAATAGAGCAGGATTCAAATCAAAATAATAATCAGAATCATCATTATCCTTATCAAAACTATAATAATGAAGGCAATTTTGCTAGAGATCATAGAATTACACACCAAAGTTTGTGATTAAAAACAAACAAGTTTCAATAATATTGACATCATTGTTGTTATAAATCATAAATACACATATACACACATATCTCCAGATACACAAACACACACACACACATATATACACACATGCATATAGACACATATATGTATCCAAACATATATATACACATATTCATATAGATACACACACATATAGACATATGTACATACACACATACAAATATATATACACACACCTGTACACACACACACACACACAAACACATGCATACTAAAACACATATACACACCCATATAGTATAAACATACGTTTGTACACACATACATACACACACATGCATCTATGGCTCCATATTGTTAAAATATGCACGTATGGCTATATATGCGAGGTGCATTATTCATATAAATCATATACGTGATTGCATGCATGATTATAGATTATTAATCAAAACATATTTGTTTATATATATGTTTAGATATGACACCTTATTTATTTACATACTCCACTAACCTTTCCCCTCAAAACTAGCAATTGAAAATTAAACTGCATGCCTTGAATGAGGGAACTGTAATGGTTTGGTTAAAAGGAAAAGAAATCCCTCTTTTTTTCCCCCTGCTTCATTTGTACTTCCCAAAACAAAGGTAGGTGTCTTCTTCAGGGGGTTGTGGTATGTGGTTAAATACAGTAGTCACCACATGTGTTGCAAGTCATAGTCGTAGTCCCCAGCCAGTCACAGAGCCAGGGATAGGACCCAGGTGTCCTGGTATCCAGCCTATGCTCTGCCCACCAGTCTGCAGTGATATACCCCCACCATCATCATCATCATCATCATCATGGAGAAACATAACATAACATAACATAACATAACATAACATAACAATATGAAACAAGTCAAATAATAACCCATCATATACTATAATAGAATATATTACAAGTAATAAATATGATACAATATGATACAATGTATAATATAATATAGTATAGTATAATAATACAAGTAATAAATACCATACGATAGATACAATGTATAATGCAATTAAACCATAATAAAATAGAATATATTACCAATAATACATATGATACAATATAAGGTGTAATGTAATATATTGTACTATAACATTATGAAATATAATATAATACTACAGACAGTTTGATGGGTAATGCAATATGATACGATACAATTCAAATGATAAACCGTAATAAAATAGAATAGATTACAAGTAACGAATATGACATTATATGATACAGTATATAATAAAATACAGTATAGTAGTAATGCAATACAATAGAATATTTCAAGTAATAAATATATGATATCATAGATAAATAACATATATTTTAGCTATACGTAGTGCAATATTATATGGCACAATTTAAATAATAAACCGTAATAAAATGCAGTAGAATATATTACAAGTGATACATATGATATATTATGATACAATGTACGTTGCATTGCATTGCATTGCAACCAAATACATTACATTTCATTAGAACAGAATAGAATAGAATAGAATAGAATAGAATAGACTCACTGCTATAAGGACTCCCATCCTCACTTCATAAACTGCAGGGAAATTCCAAGGGAAGCAAAATCAGACTCCCTTGACTCAAGCCAGGAGTTTTGATCCACATAACGCGATTTCATGCAGACAAGGGACATATTTATGTAAACTGAAAGGCTAGGATATGCCGGGATTTGTAACCGATCTTTGCCCAGGCAGGAGGTGTGTGGGCGGGATTTGAAATTCACTTTTTTAGCCAGCAAGAAGAAAGAGGAGAATGAGAAACATCTACAACAAAAAAAAGAGTAGGGACCAGGGTCTGAAACTAATTTTCCCCAAGCAAAAAGGGGTGAAGGAGAGGGTTTGAAACATACTTTCCCCTCCTAAGATTGTGGCAGCAGGGGGAGGCTTCAAGCTCACTTTTCCAGGGAGTCCAAGGCCTAGATCAGTGCATACACCTTTTCTGTTTTGCTGCAGGAAGCAGGACATGCAACAAAGGCTTGAAGTTGCAGCCAAGTTGGTTTAGATTGGATCTCAGGAAGAACTTGTTAGGGCAGGGAGGTAGTGGAATAGATGCCTAGGGAAGGTATGGGTTTTCCATCACTGGAGGTGTTGAAGAAGACATTGGACAGCCACTAGTTGGGGATGATGTAGGTGTAGGTGTGCTTATGCTTTACTATGGGTATTTCCCAGGCTTCTGGGCTCTGCTAGTTCCTCCCTGTCCCCCTTTCTGCTACATGTGTCAGAGTGTTTCTAACTGTTCCTCAGAGGCACTGGGTGTTGGCTGCAGCCAAGGGTGGGGATTTTGATTGGGTCATGCTAGAGCTCCTGTTGGGTAATAAAGCTGGAGGCTCCTGGCAAGAGCCTCTCCACTCAGGGTTAGCCAGATGCCATATCTGAGATCACGAAGGGACTTTACCCCATGTTCAGATGGACCGTGGGGAGGTTTTGCCTTTTTCTGCACCAAGGCGCGCGGCCCCTACCTGGGATCTCTTGAGTATATAGTTACAACCTTTTATAGAAGTAAGACACCACAACAGTGGTGCTTTCCCTGTGGCAGGGTCAGGTGTGATGTCTTGTGTTGTGTTAGGTTTGATAGTGGTCTTACGAATAGTTTAGAAGATGGATTTATATAGGAAGGCTTGCATAGGGGTGATCCTGCCTCAGGCAGGGGGCTGGGCTAGATGCGGTCCTCTCTAACCCAGCTTCTCTAGGAGTCTGTGGTTCTCAGCCAGGGGTCCTGGAGATCCTTCCAAGGGTGCCACGGGTTGCCAGGCAATGTTAGCATGGTTAGGTGTGCAAACAGGACTCACCAGACAAACCCAGAGATTTCAGAGAGGAACCCACAGTGTCAAAACCATTCTGACCTGTTGTGGCCTTTCTGAGGTCTTTGCACCAGAAGAATCTAGTATTTTTCTGTAGCCAAAAATAAGCGAAAGCAAAGAGCTGGCATTTTATAAAGGTGCCTTGAGTCTTAATTGCATTGCCTTGAGTCTTAAAAGGCTGAGGACTGCTGGACTAGATGCTGTTCGGTTTCAACCGAAGTCTTGTCCAGGCACCTAACATTGCCATTACAGTGTTGAAGTATCCATCAAAGTCCTCGTTCCTTCTAAACAAGGTCATAGCAAATGCTATGGTTGGGTAATGCTGCTCCGAACGATTGCTCACCAGGGGAGGTGTGTATGTGTTGCCTTGGGAGTGTAAGGCCCTCTTGGGTACACATATGCACACAGAAACACATGTACAAACGCACACACACACATATTCAGATGCATTAATGTTGTTAACTTGTGTCATTAATCTCTCTGCCTCCAGCCATCAACCTAGCTATCCAACTATCTGTCCCTCCGTCTATCCCTTCACCCATCCATTTTCAGGTCTCGTTCTCCATCCATCCATCCTGGAAGACCCCACTTCCAGCAAGGCCTTTCCCTACCCTCCAGCCCCGTCAAGAGCTCTGAGGCATGGGGATGGTGGGAGTGGGGACTTTAAGACTGCTCAGGCTGAGGAAGGCTGAATCCCAGCCTCCCCATACCGTAGGTGAGGGCCGGGATGTGGGCAAAGGACACAGGGACTCCCCCCAGGCCCTTCTTAAC